CAGGCTTCTTCTTTCCAGTTGCTTAAATTGGAAAATTTACTGCGATGATCACACTTCACTTTCTCTGTGGTCTCAAATAGTTTAGCGATTGCTGTTTCCTGTATATGACAGCTCATGAATAGTTTGTTTTCCTTTATTTGACAGCTCACGAATAGTTTGTTTCAGGACTAGAATTTTAGGTTTCAATTTCAGTTGCAATCAGTGTCAGTATTGTGAAAATTCAATTGTATTCAAGCTTCATTGTATTAGTTCTTCCAAGCCACAGAGATCCATTCTTCAGAATCTACTAATCAACCACAATAAAGATTAAAGAAATCTCTGGTGGTTTGATACATTTGTTGCCTTCTGCACCACAGGGTTAACTCTATTCATCAACTCTACTGTCATCACTCTCCATGCTTTTAGCAAAAGCTTCCTGTGAGTCTAGATCTCCCTCAACCATGTTGTCAAGGTGAAGAACATTAAGAACCTCTTTGTACCCCTTTCAGATGTTCTGCAGCCCAGTGGTTGTTGGCTTTGATTGCATCCCCATATATCTTGTACAATGGTGGTAGGTATGGCAGCTTCAGTTTCACTGTTGGCTTGTGGCTGCATGCTTGGCCTGGGGTATGGGAGCTTTTATCTCTTCTTTACAGCTTTCCACATGTCCACAGCCATGTCAACATCCTCAAAACTAACCGGAGTTCTTTTAGAAGAAGAATACCTTGCCCCATGCCAAACATCTCAGAAAAAGTTGACTTCAGACTCTGTTTTGATGGCGGTTTGTCTTTTTTCCCAACACTCAGTTCACACAACTCGCTTATTGACAACAAATAACGGGCTTAAAACATTGAAGTGACGGGTTTCAGTCACACAGAAAAATCGAACAATGACAATGAGTGGTTAAAAACTAACTTCTAAAGATCATTTTCTGCAAATAAGCAAACAGGTACATGTACAACTCGCAAATTTGTCAAGAAACATGCGAAGAAGCTTTAGGGCCTCACAAGGAATTCTTCTGCTCTTTTCACTCACAAAGAGTCAACAGTTGTCAACATTTTGTCTTACAAATTGTCTGAAGAAGAACTTCACATGAAATTGGGACTAGAGGTCTTTCGCATACTTCGTTACTGGAACCTTGTTTCTTGCCGTTTTCTTTGCATTAGACAGGAAACGCATGCAGTGGGCAGTAATTCTGAGCAGTCGTTGAAATTTGGTCTTATTGTCTGAAATCCCTACGCATTGTGTTATGCGTAGAGTGTCTGGTCACATGTTTAGCTTCAAGTTAATTGACAGATGAGTCCTGTGCTAGAGAGAGAATGTTCTAGATGTTGATTGTCAAACATGAGAGAAAGTAAGAATGTTCAGCAAGATTGTTTAGCTCAATAATTCAAGATTGTACTGAGATTGTGAAGTTATACAGTCCTCAGACGGAATGAAATAAAGATTGTGAAGCTCACAGAGGTGTGAATTTCTACAAAGTGGTCCTTTGAGTCTGATAATCGAACTTGAAGTCAACAAGATTGGCCATGTGTGTGGACTGAAAATATGTCGGTCATGGAAGTCATAGCGAAGAAAGTAAAAGTCAGAACGGCCCACAGAGGCTCTGTTATGAAACTTCTTAATTGTTTGAAAGACAGGCTGAGTGATGAAGAGAATCCAGTGGAGAAATTCTGGTTGAAAGAATCAATTCAGTCAATGCGACTGAAGATAGTGTTGCTCAAAACATTGGATGACCAAATAATTGAACTTATTGCAAGTGAAACGACTGGGGGTGTCAAAAAGCGTATCAAGAAAGAAATTAAGAATGGTGATTCAGTGAGGGCCGAATTGAACAATGTTGTGATGAGAATGGAAGAAGTGATGAGTAAATTTGATCGGCCGCTGCCGATAGTTCAGCCAAATACCACACTGGCAACTCAAGTTCATTCAAACATGGCGTCAGGAATCCCTCAGCAAAGCAAGGCGAAAGTAAGACTTCCCAAACTTGAAGTAAGGAAATTCAATGGGAGGGTCCAAGAATGGCAAGAATTCTGGGACGCCTTCGAAAGCGCCATTGACCAAAACGAAAGCCTCACAGCCGTAGACAAATTCGCCTACTTGCAAAGCTTAGTCACTGAACCAGCCAGATCAACCATTGTGGGATTCTCCTTAACAGCAGTGAACTATATGGCTGCTGTCAATGTTTTGAAGAAAAAGTATGGAAAGGAAACTGCCATACAGCGTGCTCATGTGAATGACTTGCTAAATTTAGCGCTGGTGTTCAGCGATAAAGATACGACTTGTTTGATGAAACTATACGACAGCTGCAGCGTTCATTTTAGAGGTCTCAAGGCACTCGGAGTGCAGGATAAGCCAGCAGTCAGTGGATTGAAAGTTACACCAGAGGCTAACCCTACCACTACTAGCCCCAGTAGTTTTCATGTTGGTGCCACAGATCGTGTAGCCCTACAGACTGCCCGTGCAGTCATCACCGGGAAGAGTCAGCCACAGAGGGTTAGAGTTTTATTTGACACCGGCAGCCATCGTTCCTTTGTCACAGCCAGAGTTGCTCAGCTTGCGTGGCTTCCTGTAACCAGGCAAGACTGGCTTACAATAAGTACATTTGGGCAACGCTCAAAGGATATGAAGCTAAGGGATGTCATCCAAGTCAAGGTGAGTCCTATAGCGGGGGAGAGCATCATTAACATGGAGGCATACGTAGTTCCAGAAATTTCTAGTATACCAAATACCCATGTAGAATTAGTAAAATCTGATTACCCCAACTTGAGAGGGCCGTGGTTCTCTGATGTGAGTGAGGGAAGGGATGAGATGGTCATAGATGTATTGGACAGGGCTGACTATTTGTGGCATTTTCAGAAAGGGTGCACAATCAGGGGCAATTTTGACGAACCGGTTGCTGTAGAAACAAAGTTGGGGTGGGTCTTGTCAGGACCCATGAAGGGCCAAGACACATGCAGTGATGTACACTTCACCCAAGTAAACTTCATTGCCAGCTCTGTTGAAGAGAAGGAAAGTCTAGAAGATGTGCAAAGATTGTGGGATCTGGAGTCACTGGGTATTAGAGAGATTACCGACCAGGTTCATGAGTCATTTGAGAATACCATCTCATTCAATGGGTCCAGGTACTCAGTTTGCTTACCTTGGAAGGAGGGGTACCCAGAACTGCCCATTAACTATGGGATACTGAAAAGGCCTTTTTAAATGTGGAAGTTGACTCAGAGGGTAGAGATTGTCTGCACTTCTTGTGGGTGGAAAAACACCCCTATTTGTTCCAAGTTGTTGTCTACAGGTTTTGTAGGGTTGTATTTGGACTGAATGCATCACCCTTTCTGTTGAATGCTACATTTTGACATCATGTCAAAAGGTATGAAATTTCTGACCCAAGGTTTGTAGCAAGGTTGTTGGATTCATTTTATGTTGATGATTTTGTTGATGGTGGAGCAACAAAACAAGAAAGTATGGTAGTAGAGTATCGTATCGTATCGTAGAGTGGCAGCTTTGGATGCTGCTAGAAGGGTAAGCCGCCTGGCAAATCAGGAAAACGAGTGACCTTGTTGCTCTATTCTTGACTCATACGAGTCAAGAGGGGGGAGAGAGTCCGAAATCTGTAGTTGGCATTATGCATTGCATTACACATAGTGTCTGGTCACATGTTTAGCTTCAAGTTAATTGACAGATGAGTCATATGCTAGAGAGAGAGAATGTTCTAGATGTTGATCGTCGAACGTGAGAGAAAGTAAGAATGTTCAGGAAGAATGTTTACCTCAATAGTTCAAGATTGTACCATAAAACCACCGCACCTAAACAAAAAGCACCTTTTTTCACAAAATTTGAACTTCTTCACCACGGTCTTAAAAGACATCTTGCGGACATTGGCAAAGCCAATGAAGTAAGAAGTGAAATACAACATTTGGCAACCACTTATGTCAACTTTGTTCAAGACTTCACTAAATGACTTCAAAGAAACTTAAAATACTGAAGAAACTCAAAAAGAACAAAGATGTCATTATCCTAAGACCTGATAAAGTTAATGGCATTGTAGTACTTGATAAGGTGGTCTACAATAATGCAATTAGTGATTTGTTGAATGACATGACATGACACTGGTTCTCAACTATAAGGCCAAAGATTCTAGATCAACTGTTCCTCCTTTTAGTGGAGCTCTGTTTGGGCCACCAAGCGGAACACTATAACTATAGGAACAGAACCACATGTATGCATAGAAATAGAAACCCATGCAACTCTTTTTCCATGGTCAACATGGCTAGCAGCACGGATTGCAGGTGCGTGCGCCCAACGACGACAATGTCATGCAACATGGTGGCCATACTCCAGCTAATACCAAGTCTTAGTTTACAGCATACGTCTTTTAATATTTGACACCCATGTTATGGTCAATTGACACCTGTCAAAACAAGGTATCTGCTGACCAGAATCACGTGACCAGATCATGGGCTCAAATTTTTGTTTTTTGCTATTTTAATTGCATGAAATGTCTCAGAGCAAAAGCTGTAAAAACGCTCTTTAAAAAATGCTCTGTACCCTTTCGATATCTGAAGGTCTTATCCTGTCCATTTGATGCTGATACAAAAGCACACAAAGGAAAGGTTAAGATAAAGGTTGAAGTTCAATCAACCAAAAAAGGTAACTTTGTTCAAGGAATCAACACTATAAACTCCATTCTCATTACTCTTCCACTGGTGTTGGAGTCTCCATCCTTTGAAGACATGTTGTGCAGTCTTATGCATATGCAAACGCTCCATTTGCCTTGCAAACTTTTCAACTACGGTACAGTGGGATGTGGTTACTGTAGTGGTGTTTCATTTAATTTGACAATGCTCATTTTTTGCAATGGAAAATTGCTTAGGAGTAGACAGTAAAAGTCCCTTGAT